ACCCTCCATTGTTCTTTTTGTCTTTGTCCCTGGACCCCTTTGTGCGTGGCTGGAATAAACCTCCACCTCAGACCTCCATAGATAGGCCCTTCCTGTTTCTTTGTTGTTGGTGATTCTACAAGAGAAGTGTGTGCTAGAGTGATCGTGTATGTGTGTGTGCGCGCCTGTGCCACTGAGCAGCTTCATTACTGGAGATGTTTCTGGAAGGTCACAGCTCCGCTTCCTCTTGCTCCACCACCAATGGGCTTGCAGCTTGGGACAGCTGGCAGCCTGAACAGGGACCTCTTCAGAGCATTCCTGGAGGCATCTTCAGTAGCTTTTTTGCTGCTGAAATTAAGCCATGTTCAGAGCAGCCAGTTCCCAGAGGATACTCCTAAGTTTTATTGAGGCAATCCCACAGGTGACCCGCAACCCTCTTGAGGCAATAAGATTGGTTGGAGCTGACGGAGCACCTGGAGAGCTTTTGCTGATTCCTTCCTGGTGAGTAATATATTTGGGAGTCACCCTTTTTTGTCTTTCCTTTGCCTTCTTTTCCTCTTGGATGTTGGGAGGAAGTGTGGAGATGGGAGCCAAACTGACCCACCCACAAAGGGAAGTTTATACCCAAGTTAAAGGAATCCTTGTTGGGGAAAATTTTCATTTTTCAAAGGGAGATTTAAAATATTTTCTTCATTGGTTGTTCAAGTATTTTCCTGATGTTATGAAGGAATCCATTCCAATGAGTTTTGGGACCATATAGAGAAAAGATTCTATGTTCTTCAAGTTAAAGGGGATCTTTCAGTGGGGAAATTTTATCCTTTGGCCTTATTGTTACATCAGTAGAAAATGTTGGGAAACATTCAGGACCCCAGTTTAACACCCCTACTCCGCATTCCTCCCCTCACATCCCTAAACCCTCTTCCCTTCCTCAGGGAGGATCGGGAGATGGATCCTGCCAGCAGGCACAGGGTTGCTACCATCTCCCTGACATCTTCCAGTGTTCTCTGTTCCCTCTCAAGGGCAGCACTGGCCATGCTGCCTTGGGCTGTCTCCTAACCCTCTTACCAATGTCCACATACCCAGTTCTACCACTTCCTGTTGTTCTCCCAGATGGTGCCGGCAATGTTGCCCGCCCTGCCATCTTGTCTTCTCCCTCTCCAAGTTTTCCTGCCCTTTTTTCACAAAATGATGCTGACCCCATGAAGGTGACGGCCATTTTGTCACCTCCCTGTCCTGCCAAAGATGGCCTCTCTTACCCTCCCCCCACTTTCTCTATTCCTGTAATCGCGCCCTGCCCCTTCCTTCTCTCTCAGGAAGTGTGTCCCCGTTGGGACTTCCCTTCTCTATTGGGAATCCCCTCCTCTCTTGACTCCTCCTCTGATTGTCCTCCCCTACCCATTCCCACAACACTGGAGCCAGAAGTGGTGATGACAGTGACCTGAAGGAGGCCATATTGGCTTCCACAGCTGCCCACAAACAGGCAGATTCCAGCTGCCCCAAGAGGCCCCGTGCAGTCATCAAGCACCCTTCATCCTCCTCGGGGGATGAAAGTAGGGATTCCGCAGACCTGGATTCTGGTCCTGAGTCTGAGGATCGCTGGACCAAACTGCAGAGGGAACCTACCTGGGAGGGTCCAGAGCTTGCCAAAAAATCTTGGGCTTTCAATTGTATGTAAACACAGCAGAAGGGCAACTGTAATCAATTCCGGGGAGCCAATCCCGTATGGGGAATTGAAGGAGCTCTGCAAGTGGTTAAGGAATATGGTCAAGGGATGCATTTCTTAAAAAACTTGCTGAAAGCTACTTTCTCTGCCCATATCTAGATCCCCCATGATATTAAAAATATCATGAACTGCCTCCTCTCCCTGGCTGAGTGCATGCTGCAGGAGAGGCAATGAAAAAGGCATATCAAATCACTGGTGGACATATATTCAAAAGATACCAACAAACCAAATATAACCTGTTGTATTGCACTAGATATTTAGTTGGTTGCACTGGGTGTTGGGTAAAAAATGTTATTGGGTCACGTGGATGGTATATTCCCCCTCACATGGTTCCTCCCTCACATCCCTGGTCTCTGTATCCCTGGTGGTCTGTCCCACGGGTGGTCCCTCCCTTCGCCCCTCCCCAGTGTTATCCCATTGACTGTAGTCCTCTTTCCCCGCCCCCAGCACCTGGGGCATAAAACCCCAGTGCAGGTGAGGCACGCCCTCTTTGCTGCCTGGGTGGTCGCCTGTGCCAAAGGTGATCTGTCCCCCATGAATAAACTGGACACTTTGACCCACATGGCAGGGAGCACTTCCCATCTTTTATCTCGTTCATGCGGTTCTGTGTGGGCTTGGGTCCTGAGTGAGCCAGGTTTGGACTCATATAAGCCCAGAGACCAGGGATATTGCAATAACCCTTGAACAAATGGCAGGAGAAGGTGACTTCCAGATGCCACAAGACCAAGCAAAGGATTTACAAAAAGCTGCACTCAATGACATCGCCACTGCTGCAAAGACATCCCAGCTCCTCACTCCCAACGACACCCTACATACACAGAGTTTCACTAACACTAAACGAGGGCAAGTGAAATTTTCATAAAATTTGTAGACGGACCTAAAGTTGCACTTGAGAGACAAATAGAAAGCCCAGAGGCCAAGAAGGAAGTGCTAAATAAAATGGCCTTGGCAAAGGTGAACGCTGACTGCAAAACAATATTAAGAGCTCTCCCCTTCGACCTAGAACCTACAATCGACCAGATAATTGAGGCCTGTGCCAGATTGACTTCCACTGAACACACCGTGGCAAAGGCAATCTCTAAGAGAGTAGCAGAGGCCTTTTTAACATCCAAAGACATTGCAAAATATTTTAATTGTGGGGAACTGGGCCATTTTATGAAGGACTGTCCAGAATACAAAATGCCTGAAGACCAGCAGCCACCAAAGAGGTGCCATTCACCACATTGTATGGATTGCAACAGACATTCTAACAGCTGTTCTCAGTTTCGTTATCACCAGCAGCCTCACCACCACCAGCACCATTATCAGCCAAAAAACTTCCAACAGAGCGGGGGGTGGCCCTGCGTGAAGACAGCAAATGGAAAGCTGTTTCACTGTACCCTCCCCACTATTCCAGAGGTCCAAGATGTGGGAAATTCCCGTGGAGCTCTTCATACTCCGAATAACAGCAGACCAGAGTCACCAAGGCTTTCCAGCAAGTTCAGGTAAGGACCTGACACCAGCTGGTGAGTGCTGTGTCCATACAATTTGATACATCTGCTTTCCATCTTATTCCCACCAGAAAATATGGACCCCTGGAGGACCTGAGGGATGTGCTGGTAATAGGTAATTGTATTCATGGACCAAATGAAATACATGTTATAGCAGCAGTACAAACTGTTGGGCCAACTGATGAAATCACAGTCACTGTCTGCTGCACAAAACCACCACACTTCCTGCACAGAGAGACTGTGATCGCCCAAGACTTTTTATTGTCATTAAGCATAGACAATATCCCAGAGCACCCAGTGGCATTCTGAGTTGAAATCATGGGCCAAGACAAATATCTTATAGAGTGCAGTCAGTTGAATAAAGGTAATAACATCTACCTACAAGGGATGGTGGACACAGGGGCTGACATTATTATGAATTCACAACCTAAATGGCCCCCAAACTGGGAGCTGACTCCTGTCACTGGAGTCATCTCAGTGATTGGAGGAGCTATCGTCTCCATGAGGAGCAAGCATACTATCACAATAGAGGGACCAGAGGGCCAAACTGCCACCATCAGGCCATTTATATTCAGGACACCCATCACCCTGTGGGCCAGGGACCTATTGTCCCAATGGGGAGCTTGACTTGATATTCCACCTCCATCCTGGGATTTCTAGTTGGGGCCACTGCAGAGTGCAACACCCCACAACTCACCTGGAAGACTGACACCCCACCATGGGTGAATCAGTGGCCCCTCTCAACAGAGAAATTATGTACCCTTGAGCTCCTTGTGGAGAAGCAGCAGATTTCCAAGGGGCACATTGTACCTACCAACAGCCCTTGGAACTCCCCTGTCTTTATTCTTAAAAAACCTGGCAAGGACAGCTGGAGGCTCCTCCATGACCTTCATAAAATTAATGAGGTCATGGAGTGTCGCGGCGTGGACTGTGCCCTGGCCAGGTGACAACGACAACAGGGGCGTGACAGATCCCCCTCACAAGCTCCGCAAATCCTAGCTACCAGTCCCAGTCCAGCGCAGGAACAAAAAGGCAGCAGCACGGGTCTTGGGGGTGAAACCAGGGTGGCTTTATTTCATGACCAGCACCCAAGATAAAGACCTGGGGTGAACAAGAGCTTTTATTACATCACTCAGGAGGAGGGGTTTAGGGTAGCAAACCAATAGGAGTATGGTTGGGGAGGGGTCCAAGCAGAACATTTTACACTTGAACCAATAAGGGAGCCATAGGGAGGGACATAACTTGGGTAAACCAATTAGGGTTCTAAAAGATACAGAATAGACAGGGAATTCTCCAGAAGAAAGGGCAGGTTTGGGGGAGGATTGACATTCAATGGGAGGGGAGAGCAAGGAGGATTCTGGGGAAAAGGGGCAAGGATAGGAAGGATTGACAACTGGGAAGGTTGGGGATTAAACCTTGGTAGGGAGTGGATAGGTGACAAAGAAAATGATTGACATCTAACTGAACTGAATAACAATGAGGGAGTATGTCTAATTTTAGAAACACAAAATACAAAATGAGGAGCCTATGCCACTGTGAAGACAGGGGGAGGACAATACAGGGGGACGACAAGACCACAGATTAAGCAGAAAACAAAACCACAAATTCAGCAGTGAACCTGCCAAACAAAGAAAATGCACTAAAATAATGGAGGACATGGGTCCCTTGCAGTCTGGCCTTCTCTCTCCCTTCATGCTTCCCCATGACTAGAGACTGGTGGTCATAGATATCAAAGGCCACTTTTTTAACATCCCTCTCTATCCCCAAGATGCTCCCAGATTCGCTTTTTCCATTCCCTCCCTGAACAGGCACATCTGAAGCGCTACCACTGGTGAGTCCTCCCACAAAGTGAGAAAAACTCACCCTCTATACGCCAGTGGTACATGGCCCATGGCCTATCTCCCATCCAAAGGACCTTCCCAGATGCCATCATCCTACATTATATGGATGACATTCTCTCTTGGTTTTAAAAGACAGGTGTCTGCTAAGGAAGGCAGGAGCTTCCTGTGAAATGGAAAATGTAAACCCCCTCCCTCTGAATTATTATAATTTTGAAATTCAAAGGCTCTCAGGCAGAGATATGGGAATAGGAATAACAGTTCTTTACAGGGGAAAAATAAAAATGCAAATGCAATAGTACGAAACAAAGGAAACTGACAGTCAGAATACGACCTGACACCCAATGGGTCAGGGTGGTGGTAGCAGTCCTATTAAATGGTGGCTGCAGTGCTCCTGGAGTGACAGGTGTGGTTCTGTTGAAGCAGTGATCCTGTAGAAGGGTGGAGTTGTCCTCTGAAGACCCAGTGGTGGCGTAGATGGGCGTGGACTTCCTCTGGGAATCTAGTGGAGAAAAAAGCTGCTTCTCTAGGAATCCAATGGGAAAAGGCTGTCTTCGTTGTTCCAAATCTCAGATTATACCCAGTTAGGAATGCTTGGCTCCTTGTTGCCCTGGTCTTCTAAGTTCTTCTAAGCCTTCTGATGTTTACATTCTTGTAATGGAGTTTCTCACGCATTTTTATGTAAATAATTGTTGTTTTTACATTCCTTTCTGGAGGAGGAGAAATCTGATGGATTGTTGGCTTGTCCAGTGTCAGTGGGGAGGTGGCAATTCCATCCTCCAATCCTCTGTCACTTTTGAAAGTCTATAAATAGTGGAATCAGAAAATAAACTTCCTTTCTTCTTACCATGGAATTCCAGTGTCCGCGTTTTTTTATTTCGTGTCCTATTGCATTATCTGGTGGCCACCATGTGTGGGACAGCCATGGGTGAGGTCGTATAGTTTTACCCCCCACTCCCTGCTTTGGCGTGGTGACTGTGAGCCGTTTGGCACTTTGCCTGCAGCTCTTGTGATAGTGGCAATACCTGTGGTTTCTATGGAGGACTCCTTGGTTTTGGATCTCAGGAATGGTCTCATGGAGTGGAAACGGGCTTTCATTTCCTGGAACAATTTTGAAAGATTATCTCTGTGGGCCAGAGAGCAAGGGGTTTTTTTCAGACCCCGCATGGGTGTTCTCCAGGGAGGCGTGGTCTCTCGTGGGAGAATGCCTCATGGAAGCTCTCTTTGCTGATTGTAGTATAGACGTGGGACTGTTGCTGGTGCAATGGAAAAAGTTTGACATGGTTTGGCAAGGGTTTGGATTTTGTAGCTCTCAGAGTTCCCAGGGGGACTCTTCCATCTTGGACACGGAGGAGGGGGAATTTGAATTTCTGCACAAAGCAGAAGCTTCCCCTCTCCCTCGAGATGGTGAGCTGGGAGACGGTTCTGGCTCAGAGGGCGACGTTTGATCCCCAAAGGTGGATTGGGCTCTCAGCCAGCTGGTTCTGAGCAGCCAGCAAGTGGGCAGAGCCCTGCAGACTTCTGGGGGCCCTGTGGAGTCAGCTAAGCCAAGCCCACCCTGCCTCACACCGTGGAGATGGTGGGTCAGGGGGGGCATCCCCCTCTCTTTTTGCCTTCCTGGCACTCGGGGGCTGCAGGGAGCCCCGGCTCAGCCTCCACCTCTGCTTGAGTCTGATTTGGTGACAATACTTCATCGAAATTGTGGCATTTCCACAAAATACCCCCTGGGCACGGCAGGAGCAGGTTCATCCACTTCAGCACTGGTCTCGTCCTCAGGGGGGCGGTATCAACAGCTTCTGAGTCTGCGCAGCCTGCTGGGCATGCGCAGGCGGTGGAAGCTGCTGGAGGCGATGTGTGATCGGTGCTTTCTTGGGCCCCACCATGGTGGGTGGGCAGCCCGCCCCACTTCACTTGGGGGGGCGGTGTCTGCTGTGGGGTTTCATGTCATGGGCAGAACTCTCATAGGGGTGGTCCCGGACACCCCTGTGCTGCCCTGCAGTTCCATGAGTCGCGTCTCTGCACCCCATCCCTCCCTCGTGCCGCGGAAGGGGGGCCCCAAGCAGGTCCCGCTCTGACCCGCACCGGATCTACGAGTACTGCCAGGACCTGCGTCCACCACCATGTCCTCTGCCCAAAGTGCAGCAGTCAGCACTGCTGGGTTGCCAACGGGCACGGGCTCTGCTGGGGCTGGAGTGGGCCCTGCAGTGGCTGATTCGGCCCCGCCACCCCAGCCTCCCACAGACACTGGGGCTGTGGTGCAGGAAGACGCTCTGGTGTTCACTTTTAGTGCAAATGGTGACAGTCGGCGTGGACGCTCCTTGATGGTCTTGTGGACACTCCCCCCGTGTCAGGTGACTGTACGTCCAAGGGAACACAGGCGGTTCTGGTGAGAAGTCAAAGCTAAGGTCAAGGAAATGGTTGATTGTGCCTTCGCGCAGCGTCTACTGGATTGCCGAGATGGCTCCTCTGGCCCTGCTGATGCTGCAGGGGATGCGGTTTTGCGTGATGTTGAGCTGCCTCCCAGTCAGGCGTCTGCCTCTGTCCCTGTGGGGCCCACGGGATGGGACTTGGCAGGTGCTGCCACCTTACCAGGGGGTGGCCAGGCTTTCCCTGTGCTTAGGGGTATTACTCATAACACCTATCAGCCTTTATCGTGGAAAGCTATGATGGAACTCCATGATAAGGCTGGACAATATGGGCTGGGGTCTGTTGAAGTCATGCAGCTGCTTCGAATGCTTGCTATGCTTGCTGCTGATTTGCTGACACTTTATGACATCCACAGTTTGGATTCTATTCTTTTTCTGCTGGTAGAATTCGACATTTTTGAGTCTAAATGGACTCAGTTGGCAGCCAGGGTAGTGGAGCAGAATGCGATGCTGGGTCTGCAGGATCCCAGGTGTGTGATTGGCACTGATGTGTTGTTGGGCACAGGCAATTATGCTGGTCCTAATGGGCAAGTTGGCTTCAATCCCCTTATGCTTGACCAGTGCCAGACAATAGGCATGGCAGTGTAGGAAAGGCATTTTGTGCTGTTCTTGAGGCCCAGCAAAGACTTCCTGAAAATAAGGACAGCCTTCCTCCTCGTATCTCTCTCAAGCAAGACACCAAGGCTATCCCTATGGCAATGGGATGGAAATGAGAAAGTAAAAAGATACGGACTTTAGCTGGCACCTTGTTCACCTACTGAGAACATTGTTTCTTTCTTATGACAAATGGGCAGTGGATGTGTCTGCTAAGTAAATTAAAATATCTTGAAAAACTATGAAGCCAACATGTTGTTATAATACATCAATCTTATACACCCTTCTGATGGAGTCAGTACTTGGCGCTGTATCTCGTTCTATAGCAACATCTGGTGCTGCCCACCATGATTGCAACTGGACTGTAAAAAAGGAAAGCGAAAAAAGAGAGAAAAAAGTTGAAGAGTACCCTAAAAATCAGGGAAGGCAGCACGGACGCTATGGAGGTCTGGACCTAATTCAGATGTCTGATTCAAGGTGAGTGATTTGGAAAATAATGGGAAATAATTTATCAAATGAGGAAAAGACTGTTTTGTCTACATGGAAAACTTTACTGAAAAGAAAAAATGTTCAAGCTTCTGATTATGCTCTTCATAGCTTACTGATATGGTGCAAATCACACGACTTTAAAGCTGATGCTGACACTGCCTTCAGTGTCAGGGCATGGAAAAAGTTTGGGAAGAGACTATGGGAAGTGATATCTAAGGGAGATAAGACGGATGTCAATTTGGCTACTACCTGGAGACTGTTGTATCAGGCACTGAAGGAATGAAAAGCAGAACAAGATAGAGGGGAGGAATTGGAGGAACAGGAATTAGAGCAAGAAACTGAATTAGATGAACAGGAGGAAGATGAGGCTGAGCCCATCTGTTCCAGATTGCAAGGAAAGATGTTTTCTATTATCATCTGGATGGCAGTTGTCTTTTGTCAAGTGGGCAGTTTGCCTTATCTCTCTCTTTGAGTGACCACAATCACTCCTCCCTTGGGAGGGGACATCTGCTGATAACAGACTATTGAATGTCACTGCATGACTGATAAGAACTATAAAATCCCATTGTGAGATGCTCTGCCCAGAGGGAGGAGCCAAGCATTGCTACCCAGATATAATCCAGAGGTTCTGAAACACCAACACAGCTTCTCCACTGGATTCCCCAGCTGCCTCTTCTTCCATTGGATCTTCAGAGGAAGATTAAACCCTTTTCTGTAGGACCCCCTGCTTCAACAGAACCACCCCTGACACTCCAGGAGGGCTGCAGCCACATTTCCAATTGGACTGCTAACAACACCCTGACCAACAGGGTGTCAGGTTGAGTTCTGACTCTGTCAGTGTTGCTGTGGTTACTGCATTGTTTATTTTATCCTTTTATTTTTCTTCCCTAATAAAGATCTTTTATTTCTTGCTCCCATATTTTTTGCCTGAGAGCCCCTTAATTTAAAATTTATAGCAATTTGGAGGGGTGGGGAGGGTTTACATTCTCCATTTCAGGGGAGGATCCTGCCTCCCTTAGCAGGCACCTGCCTTTCCAAACCAAGACAGTTGTCTTTTCCCTTTTGGAATACCAGCAAGATCATGTCACAAATGCCACAGAAAGTATTACACGGAAAGAAACCAAAGTTCCTCTTCCATTACACACACCCATGTCAACAGCCACTATTATATAACCCATACAAATTAGGTACCTGTAGGCAAAATGGGGAAAATTATTGGATTGCAAGAAACTTAGGAAAAATGGTAATAGATTTGGAATTGAATGTCCAAAAGGAGAGAGATGGATTTGTTTTACATTTAATCTTACAGTTCAGGATTTGGTAAAAAAACAACTAGTAAACAAAAAGGTAAAACCAGCTCAGCAATCTAACTCTGTATTGACCCCAAATTATCTGTTGAGTCGTATTACAAGACTCCAAGCAGTTATAGAAATGATAGCAAATAAAGCCACCCAGGCATTAGAGTTAATATCAAGTCAGCTAAG